CTATTCTTTGATAAATCTGATATATTTTGCTGTGAGGCTTGGATTACCGTTTGACTAACAAGCGTCTAGGAATGCCTTAGCATTCTTAATGTTACCCTCGTTTACGACTCACATGTTTTTTATAGTCTAATTTGTGACCATAGTTGCCTGTACACAATGGTATGACGGAATTAATACCATACCTCTTAACAACTTGTTTGTATTCGTGGATTTGAAGAAGAATGGGCGACCATTTCTACTGTTGTTGCACTTTAAATGTTGGAGTTTTCTTTTATTGCCGTTGTCTCTTCAACTGGAGAAAAGTGATAAAAGAAGCCATGTTGAACGAGATATTAATTATTAATTTGAAAATTCCCATTCAGTCATAGAAAAGAAAAGGCGTTCAGCAAAGAGTTACTCTTTTCGGCGATATTATTCTCAAGCTGTACAAACCCCAAATTTATAGTAATTTTTTGTCTTGGCAACAAAAGGAATATTTCCAAAGATGTGTTAATGCAATCGTTAATTTTTGACAACAAATTACGTAATTTAGAAGGCGTTAATCGGTTAGAAACTAAAATAAAGTTACAAAAGTGACGTAATCGAATTGCTAGGGTTCAATGAAAAATGAATCAGAGTCAAGTTAATAATCTGAGTAGAATTCACTTGAAAATGAATGAGAGTTAGGTTAATAAGCTGAGTAGAATTCACTTAAAAATAAACGAAAATAGAGTTAGCAACAGTCGTCATGAGGGTAGAAATTTAATAGACGACGACGACTGTTGTTAACTCTATTTTCGTTTATTTTTAAGTGAATTCTACTCAGCTTATTAACCTAACTCTCATTCATTTTCAAGTGAATTCTACTCAGATTATTAACTTGACTCTGATTCATTTTTCATTGAACCCTAGCAATTCGATTACGTCACTTTTGTAACTTTATTTTAGTTTCTAACCGATTAACGCCTTCTAAATTACGTAATTTGTTGTCAAAAATTAACGATTGCATTAACACATCTTTGGAAATATTCCTTTTGTTGCCAAGAAAAATATTAATTATTGCTGAACAGTTATTGTATGGCTCATAATTTGTCGGTTTCGTATCCACTGTCTGAATGTTAAATAAACTCACATAGTAGTCGGGATGTCTTCGATGGTTACATGGACAGACACTTCTACAGAATTCCGAAATTCGACCGATGAGCTTCCAGATTTTTTCTTAGTTTTCAATGGTTTACTTATCGTTTTCAGTTCATAACGAGATAGACACCCAAATTAATTCAACCATCATATACACAATCAATGCGTTGGAAGTATCTGAAGGTCCACTTCAAAGAATGTTGGGGAGGAAGCACCGAATAACTTCAAGTTCTAGTGAGAATTTATAACCAGCGAGATCCACTGAGTGAGACAAGAGGACAGACAGTTACTCGCTTGTGACATAGTCTGGAGGTTGCACTAAATAAACATCGGAAATTGGTAGAGGTTGGAATTCATGGATGACTTGGTTGGGTCTCAGTGTCTGAATGGTCTGCGAGCTAGCCTAGTAGCTAGAAGGTCATGGGTTAGAACCTCATGGGGTGCTTAATGATGAAGAGTCCCAAACTAGGACGAAAGTTCATGACCAATCTTGTAACCGATCAAGTCTCTGGAAAGCAACACTTGGAAAATAACTTAATATAAGAAAGAAAAAGCTCTAGATTTAGATGGACGTCCGCATCATTGGTGTGTGTGAGTCGTCAGACATCCGCGTCCGCAAGCGGCTATTTCACTTTGCATAATTTCGTGTATTTTATCTACAAAGTACTATGGGACAATAACTGATAAATTCCAGCAGATTATTAACTCTCACAAACTACTGATAAGTCTTAAGATCTAATGTGGAACTACCTATAATTATAATGAAGTTCCAGATAATTGTCAGTAATTAATATAGAATTCAAAGCCTTCACAGTACTGCCATATAAAAAGTGACGTCAAACGCTACACGTATGACTCTCACTGAAGGTGGAATTAGTTCGGGTGGCATTTTAACCAACTGACGATCTCAGAGATAAACTTTGTCGGCTTAAGGATACAATAGATCCAATTAAGAACAATAATATAATTTACCAATATACCATGTAATGACTGCGATTGCAGTCAATTAAACTAGTAGATATGGGGTCAACTAGATTATCGGAACATAAACATTTAGCTAGATCTCAAATGAATGACCCTACTAAGTTAAATAATGTAGAAAAAGCTCAGCCATTGCATTGCATTCACTTGCAAGTAATCCCACAATAAGTGAGGTGGGACAGGGTGAGAGTATTGAAAAGTAATGCAGTAAATTGGAGGGAAAGAGAGGTTAATCACTGGAGCTTTCTTTATCCTCGATTCAACACCTCATACCTGCAATCGGAGTGACGCAACGCCTATACTAGAGATATAGAAAGTGGCAGCAAACAACAGAGGGAGTTGGAGAGACAGAATAGAGAGAAAATATATATCTAAGACAAATTGTGAAACCGTCTGACTAAAACTGATACGATTATGAGCAGTCATAAATTGTTCTCGAAACTTTGTCATCCACTTGTTAATACTGCATCATCACTTGTGTGATATATTCACAATAAACTTATCTAATATGGAATTACATTCTACCCCAGTGCCTAAGTTATACATTTAAATTAATTAATTAACTAGTCTGCACCAATTTATTGATTTGCAACTTCTACACTTTATGTCAAGGAAATTTCTGTTAAACATTGATTTTAGTTAAAAAGAAATCCACTGATAACCAACAGGTATCGAATAAGTTTCTCGTTTTGGCCTAGGATTCTTCAGCACAGTATGTACATCTCACCATCTGACTGAAATCATTCACAGCAGTTAGCTTCTGTAATGTGCAAAAATCCATTCACACTGTTGAATGAAACCCAGTGACGGGTAATTTCCCACTTCAGTCAATTTGTGATTTGTCTAATGTTATGAATATATAATTTGCAAGTGAAAAGCAACAAGTTGGCAGAAGAAGCATCAAAGATAGAACTTCAGGTGAACATGGGGAAATCAGAGGTAGGTGATGAAGATTCCTGAACAAGAACAAAAACACCAACAGACAACAACAGACAACAATCAGCCAGCATAAATGGGAGGAATCTGAGAGAAGCAACCTCCTTTACCTACCTGCGAAGCGTCGTTTCAACTACAGGCGGATGGAAATGATGAGGATATCAAAGCAAGGATCGAAAAAGCAAGACAAGCTTTCACTACTCTCAAGTCTGTGTGGAGGTCAACATCATTCAGGGTCAAAATAAGATCGGGATTTTCAACTCCAATGCTACTTAACAAGCGGATCAGAGACTTGGCTAGCGAGTCATAAAGAGCATCTCAAACAAACTACACACCTTCATTAACAGTTGTCTTCGCTCAATACTCAAGATCAGATGACCGGTCAGAAAAGATCAGCAACAGAGATCTCTGGCAATGAGCGAACCAACCAGCAACCGATTGTGAAACAAATATGCAGGAAGAAATGGAGATGGATTGGCTGGCCAAACTCTGAGGAAACAATCCATCAAGTGGCATCACTAGATAAGCCATTGCTCGAGTGGAACCCGAAAGGGAAGCGACGAGTTGGTCGTCCAAGGGTGACCTGGAGGAGATCATGTGAAGAGGAGATGAAAACGTGTGGGCAGACTTGGAGCCAGGTGAAGACTCTAGCAGCGAACCGAATGCAGTGGAGACGCACGTCTGAAGTCTTATATTCCTCTAGGAATTAAAGGAAATAATAATCATCCCAGTAATCATGATTTCGATAAATGCGGGTCATTGGCTTATTGATTTTCAATCGATTCTTGAGGAATTCTACTAATAAATTAATCAATACTCCTGAAACCTCAGCCCTTGATTCATCTTAGATTGGTTACAGGATTGATCACTACCTGACATCGACTAGAGGACCATTGGAAAACCACTAAGGAGTAGTGGACAGCTGTTTCGACAGCCCGACTTGGGACTCTTCAGCCGCACACACACCAGGGTTTAAACCCAGTACTTTCCGGTTTGAAAGTGAGCTTGTATACCACTCAGCGACTGCAGCTTGACCCAGTCGTCCATGAATTCTAACCCCGGTGGGTGTGTGTTGATGAAGAGTTCCAAAGCAGGGCGAAACAGGGAAACAGTACTCCTTGCGGGTTTTCCAATGGTTCTGTAACTGATGTCAGTGTGTGGTCAGTCCTGCAGCCGATCGAATCCCTGAAAAATACCAATTGATAATTAATCTGACATTCTTAAATAAAATTTGATATGACAGACGCCAACAGTCACGACATCGAACGTCGTCATTCACGTCGAACATCTCCAATGGAATCATCATCTTCTTTTTGATAAAAAAATATATGCTCTTAATGAGGTTATTGTGATGTACTTCATGACTAACCTTCATGAGACGTTTTGCTACCATAATCCACCTTGATACTTATTTATTTAATCTTAACCGATACAGTTAAAAAGTTAAACCTGTCTACGAAATCAAACATCATCATAGTAGTTTCACACTGTAGACGTCGTCATGACCCCTCAGCATAAGTTAACTATAGATTAAAACTCAACTCAAGACCTACAATGTGCATTTCTGTTGTCAACAAGACTCTGACCATAGTAGTATGTGTAAACGCTTACACACATGTGATGCATGTGTGTAACCATTTTCAATCATGTTAGATTGTTACATGCTTTCATTGAAGAACTATAATCCTATTGGCTAGCTGATCACACACATACACACACACGCATATATTGATACATTTGTTCAATTGAGCACAAGCTATTAACACATATACGTGTGTGTGTGTGTGAATAGGCATAACACACACATTATCGACCATTCTAATGCCATGTGACCCATACCTTATTCCTTCTACACTAATGTCTTTCTCATATCAGAGAGCAAATTAGGTTCCACTGAAAAATAATAATAATCATAATAAATATAAGTTGTTTTTTTCCATTTTGTTGTTTGTGTTTTCATGACGCGCTACTGGTTGTTCACAAACACACACACCACGCAAGCACGTACGCACGTACACATACACTTGGAGAGTATATGCACAAAGACAACTGTGTGTTGACAATTTATGCGTGTATAGTCAGGATTCTAACTAATATTCCCCGTAGAGTTGGCCAGTAAAGAGGATATTCAGTTAAGAGTACCTGTAACCAGTTCACAACTAACGTGTACAAGACAAGAGAATAGAGGAAACACACACACACACTCACAGACGCACACGCCCACACATACACACTCCGGGATTTTGTTTCAATTAACAAAGAGGAATAGATTTCGTTTTTCGGCTTTTCCTTGAAAAGAAATCTTTTACTGCTACAATAATAATAACAACAGTTACAAGCGTAAATTGTCTCTGGAGAAGAAACAGAAGAAGAAGAAGGTGACAGTGGCGACCAAGACGAAAACGACGACAAATAAGCAGAGAAACGAATTGGTTCAACAGACATGTCAAGTTGGCAACGTCTATCAGGATATTTAAACTCAAAGCCTACTGGACGTAAGTCTTCTACACATTACTATATATGAATGCTGATTGATGATTTATAATGCAGTTATTATTATCATTATTATTATTATATCTTCAAAGTCTTACAAAAGAGAATCAATTAGATAATGTTAAATTTTCTCCGGATGTTTGATGGTTCAATTATAAATGGTCATTTTGTTTTAAAGTCTTTAAAGGTCAGCTTCAACCTACCCTTCATCCTAGAAAATAGTAGTAATAGGTCAATGCTGTGGAATAAACAGACGATTAATCAGAGGAGTGAACTGGGTTTATATAACTCAATTCACTATCAGTTATGTCATATAAAAGATTTGTCTTGAGAAGAGTGTATCAGAGAGTATCGATAAAAGAATTGATCATCCTTGACAGATTCTGTATTGGCAGAGATTGTCACAAACTGAAGCCACCGTAAGTTCGTCTTTAATATCGTGCACGTCAAATGAACTTGATGAATACTTGATAAATATTCGTCACTGAAGAAAAGAATAAGGTGAAGCGGAGTATCAGACAAAAATGAAGAAATTCTGTCTACTGGTGTACTGTCAAATTAACTTCAAATAACTTTAATGTGGAATATAGAAATTCATGAAAAATCCCCATTCAAGCATTGATAAACAGCAGACCAGTACAGTAGTTCAGAGAAGAGTCACTTTTCGGCGGCGAGTCATTTTCATAGTTGTACAAACGCATGTGTGTGTATATTAAATTTTCCAAACGAAAATACAATTAGTAAGTTCAGGTGAATTGGATGTTGATATAAGAGGGTAGTAACAAAGGTGATGAGTTGTAACAAACGATTGTTAAAAAGGAATTACGCAATATCATGAAAAGTTTGATGAAAAAGTTGTGCTCAGGGTGTATATAGAAACAAAATAACATACGGAATTACGCAAGAGTTTTAAGTAGTTAGAAAATTAAGCATGCAAGCAAAAGTTAAGTCAAATCAACGGAGTTGTTACCATGACAGTAAAAGTAGGTGAATAATTTTCTTTTGTATGCATAGTTCTGGTTCTTCCAAGTGAATGGCTAGGGCTTCTGCAATGCAAAGAAGACCGAAATGTATTGTTTTTGGCAGGTTGTTCTTCACTTTGTAGAAGGAGGCGTTTGTTGAGATGGAATGACCAGGGGTGACGAGATGTTGGATTATTGCACTCCTTACACAACCACTACTTCCTTTCTGTAGCCAGGCTAGATAGTGTTGTTTGACCCATTTTGATAGGATGTGCGGCGAACGACCGATGTAAGTGGATCCACAGCAACAGGTGAACTGATATATTTACACATAGAAGTGGTCAGGTGCTGGATCTTGTCCTTTGGGTCTCTGCAGATCAGCGAGCGACTGGAGAACACTACTCTCAATGTTGCCGCAAGGAGAGTTCTTCTTAAATAAATGGAAATTCTCCTCCTAAGGACATCACTGAGAGTAGGTCACCTTTGAAGTTGAGGTTCATATAAAGTATCTTTTTTGGCACGGATGGTGTCTCTTGCTTTTGGATTTTCTTTTTTGATGTTTTTGTCCACGAATCTTGATGAGTAACCGTCTTGTATGAAAGTTTCTTTCAGGAAGTGTAGTTCTTCTTCCAGGGGATTAGATGTGCAGATGCGTCGGACGTGAGTATCAAGAGATCTAATTAGGTTTCGTTTTCGACTGATTGGTACTCAGCTGTAGAAGCTTGTCAGTTGGACGTTCCATGTGGGTTTCCTATGAATGGACCTTCTTAAAGTTCCGTCATCTCTCCTTGTGAGTTCAACATCAAAAAAAGGGATTTTAGATTCGTTTTCAATTTCGAGAGTGAACTTGGTAGCCGAATGGCATTTGCTGAATATTTGTAGTAACTGATTAAGATTGTGACCATCATCACAGATAATAAAGATGTCGTCCACATATCTAGCACACAACTGGAAATTATCAATAGTTGATTTGAGTGAGCCGTTCTTGAGGTTTGCCATGAAGCAGTCTGCTAGCAATGGGTTCAGTGGAGATCCCATTGAGATCCCATCTTGTTGTCTGTAAATAACATCGTTGAATGGGAATTGCACATTAAGTGTACATCTCAGTAGTAGTTCTTTTAAACAAGTCTTTGGTAATCCGATGTTCCAATGGAATGGATGAGAATGAAATGCAGAACGTATCATTTAAAGTACGCTAATTGCGATTTGCAATACCAAAAGTCTCTGAATAGATGCTTACAGATTTTATTTACGACAATGTTTCAACTTCCACTGTACAAACTCGTTCCTGTGAATAACTAGATTATCAGTTCAACATCATTTTCTTGCATCTCGACTAGTTTCCCTAGTCAGAAAGCATTAGTCTATCTGTGCTCATAGATTCTGTTAACTCACACGGCTACAGTCAATATTTACACGACTGATCAGTGCCCACTGAGGCATTCCATCCTGCGTCACAAATAACTCACTACCAAGCTCATATCATCTTTCTGGACGATACTGCTAGGTATAGTGTCAGACACAGAAGTGACCTAAGCAAATTTCAATGCAAGTGTTGCTACTAGCTTGTTGTGATTAGACCTGATTATAATTCACTGCTATACTGTCTGAACATGTATTCAGGTTATTTGTTGTTGCATTGACCTGATTTCTTCTGACCTTGTACTGATTATTGTTTGATAAACAGACTTTATGTTGATGCGTCAACTAGTCTGCTAAGTGAGTAGAGTAACGCAATTTCAAATATAACTGGCTGTCTTCCATGGGTTTCCTCTGTTTGAAATTTATTTATCTTCCCAGCCATTTTGATATATGCAATGCTTAACACTATTCAGTTCACTTTTAGATTTCCTCGTCAATTGATTGGACTGAAGTACTCGGTTTTAGGTTAACATATCTGTCCGCTTCTTGTTCAGATGCTTCGACGATGTCTGGGCATGTAATTAAAATTTAATTGGTGGATGGTGACTAGCAGTGGAATCCAGCCAGGATAACGCGCATTTCGTCCTGTTCTGGACTCGTCAACTGGATGTACCTGCATTCCCCAGTGAGTGATGATGTTCCCAGGGAGACTCGAACCCAGTGCCCATAGTTTCAAGAGGTGGCCAGCTCTCGTGGCCCAAGCAGTCTAGTGGATAACGCTTTGGCGTTTGAAAACTATGGACACTGGGTTTGAGTCTCGTTGGGAACATCATCACTCACTGTCTGCGGAATGCAGGTGAATCCAGTTGACGAGTCCCAAATAGGACGAAATGTGCATCTTGGTGGGTTCCACTGCTAGTCATCCTCAACCAATTAACTTCTGCTCACCACAGCTGAAATTGGGATTTTTGCTGTAGAGTTCATTCTCTTCGTCTCCGTTTATCATTTCCACAAACAGCTATAGTAGGTAGGTAATATGACATAGTATTTTATCGTATCCAAAGTTTATTAACCTTGGATTTGAACACACACATACACACATAGAAAGAGAGAGACAGAAAGATCCAAACGACGAACTTTTCAACAGATATGTAGACGTTTTTACTGGTCAACTTGGTATTACTTTATTACTTCATTGTACAAAGCTTATCCGTAAATCAAATTCCCCGTAACTACCTAAAAGAATAGTCATGTGTACTTTTCAGACGTTACCCTAATCAAAATTGGCCATTTTCAACTCACTTGCCAATGTCACCACATCATTCATATTACAGAATACAGAATGAAAGATGTGAAAAGCTTGCATGAGGTGCACAGTGTGTTATCAGAATGCATTCAATCATTGTAACGCGACAAATATAGTGTCGCCGCAAGTCAACTGAACTGAATCCTACATCTTATAGTTAAATCAAACCTTTCCTCAGATGAATATTGCCTTTTTACACATAGGTGTAATGTAGTACACTTTGTGATACAAGGACATAACAGGATCATTGAAACAACATGAAATACAGTAAATTTGATGCAATTTGTTACATGGAAAATAAAGTATAATCCAGGGATAGTTAAACAACCGACTCCCGTGAACCCTAGTCCAGTAAATCATAAAATCAACACCACATCCGGATTGTTTAAAATTCCTGTGCTGTTTTCTCATAAATTTTTTTGAATTTTTCTATGGTACTACTCATCGAAAAGATAAACATTTCTCTGGATTCCCTAAAAATTCACAAAATAAGGAATTGAATTTCCCAGAACTTCACAAACAATCTATCTATCCTCCCTATCTGTATGGTTTGATTCTTATTGAAGAATGTGTGAGGATACTTAGTGTATAAGTGATAAAGGTTAACTAACTAGGTCTAACCATCTAATCGATGTTTAACCAACTCGTCCATTTCTCACTCTTTCCCTGTTGCGCGTATCTATATGTAAATCTATCCCCTATCATCCAGTCATCTGTGTATAACCGCTGCCGTGAATAGAATTCTGTTGTGTGCACTCACTTTAACCTACCCACGGTGTACATTAAAACTCATTATTTCCTAAAGAATTTAATATCATTCTTCTTCTAATTTTTTTGGTGTTTTACAGGGTGATTAAGGTTGTACTGGTAAATAAATGTTTGTCCCTTCTTTTAGTAAATAACCTCCACACATAGTGTAGAGAGAGTGCATCTAACTGAAATAAACTGACTTATACAAACAAGTTGGTACAATAAAAAATGGTCCAAACCTTAACTTCGTACGTGTGCATCAGTGGCACAGAGATAGAATGCTCCCCGACCACGCAAGTGGTCCACGGTTCGAACCCCGGTAACAAACGCACTCATTTACCTTACTAAGCCAATAATAAAAAAGCTGGTAAAGAGGGAAGGTTGGGTATGAGGTTGGCTAACAACCCCTTTCCTGTAAAAATAATCACCACTGCTACAGAAACTTCAAGCCTCTAGTTTAAAAACCCTATGTTCCACTGGGAATGTAAAGGAATAAAAAAATATAGGAAAATTGTTCTTATCTGTTTTGAGTAGAAACTTGTTATTATTTATCAATTCGAGGGTTGTCTCAAGATTCAACGTTATGCACTACCTATCCCACGTCAACGTAGCACGAATATGT